ATGGCCTGGACAAAGAGGGGGGCTGGGCCCCAGAAGGAGTGGGGGTTTTGTTTGGGGGAAACCCTAGGAGCAGGCAGGAAGCGGGGACACCCCCCAGACCCTCCGTTGGAGAGCAGACACCTGGAGGGAAGGGGCCAGCCCTGTGGGAGTTCTTCTGGGGCAGAAGTCAGGAAACTGGTCTCCTGGTTGCAAACTTTTACAGAATTTGAACCCTTTGGAAATGATACAGAACTGTGAAATGTGTAAGACTGGGGGCGGGGGAAGATAAGGCCTGAGAGCCTGTGTGACCCATCTGAGGCCCGGAGACCAGCGTGGGCAGAAAAGCCTTGGTGCGGACAGCCCTCTTGCCCTCAAGCCCCAAATCCTTGTTTGTAAACGAGGCTCTCAGAGTGTCGGCCGGACATCAGTTGTGGGATGTGAAATAATATTTAAGTGAACTCCGTTAAGCCTAAGTATAACTTGGATTTAAAGCAACATAGTTATTTTAATGTATATCAGGGAAAAAAATATATCTAGCCTACCCAACATGTTATTTTGGTGTGTTTCTTAGGAAAAACTCAATGTAGTTTTTAAAAAATGATGGAGTGAATAATAACATAGGAGATTCGTGGACAGGATCGAGATGAACAGAGACGTGGAGTTTGGAAACTCTGCTCTGAGGCTCAGTCCAGTCTGGCTTTGGGGCCCAGAACTCAAAATGCGGCGGGAGCCCTGGGAGAGGTGGGGAGCCCCGGGGCACGAGGGGCCATCCATGCTGCGCCCAGGCTCACCGCCCCTGCCTGGCACGGACCTGGCTCTTCCTAGAGCCACAGGGAGCGGCGTGCTGCTGTCTTCCAAGGTCACACAAGGCACAGGTCTCACCTTCCCTCCCAGGGTGCTGCCCTGGGCATCCCTGGGTGCCTTCACCCTCCACTGAGAGGCCTTTGCCCTGGGCCAGTCCTGGGTGATGCTCCGCAGCCCCAAGCCTGCCCCAGCACAGCCCCCCGCGCCCCCCGGCTCCAGGGAAGGCTTTTCTTTTCTTTTTTTTTTAAGATTTACTTACTGGAGAGAGAATGCACACATGAGGGATGGGGAGGGGCAGAGGGAGAGAGAGGGACTCCCTGCTGAGTGCAGAACCTGACACAGGGCTCCATGCGAGGACCCTGCGATCGTGACCTGAGCCGAATCCAAGAGTCGGATGCTTACCGGACGGAGCCACGCAGGCGCCCCCAGGGAAGGCCTTTCTGTGACCCGCCAGACTCACATTCTCTGGCCGTCGTGCTCAGAGCGCGTGTGTGCGTGCGTGCGCCGGGCAAGCCTCTGTGCGTGTGCAGGTGTGTGTGCATGTGCATGTGTTGAGTGAGGGTCTGTTGGCGGCTGCTGGGGACCAGCTCACGGCAGCTGTGGGTCCCGGCCCGGGGGCCCTGTGGTTGCGTCACCTTGAGTGAGGGGTCTCCCGTCTCCAAGCCTCTTCCATCAAATGTGCACCCAGTCTTGGCCCCAGGGTAGTTGAGGAGAAGCACTGCACTGACGTGTATACGCGGGGGATGGGCGTGGGGAACACGACCGCTGTCGCCGGCGTCGCTGCGGCGGTGCCTGTGCTGGGAGGGGCTGTTTCAGGGGTACCTGCTCTGGGTGAGACAGCGCACAAGCAGGAGCGGCTGGGGGGGGTCTGGAGCCTGGGGAGGGCGTGGATGTGCGTGCACTCCACCGGGAGGGGTCCTGAGCTTTGACTACCTCGGCTTTAAGGGCCAGAGGAGTCATGGCAGGTTTATCAGGGTTGCAGGCAGGGATGGTGTGAGCAGATTTATGTTTTTAGAAGATCACTTAGGCTTCTGGGGAATATTGTTGGAGGCAGGAGTAGAGGCTGGGAGACCTAGGTGGAGGTCCTGGCCAGCGTGAAGGCAAAGGGAAGGGGGATGTTCAGAGGTGAGAGGGAGAGTCAAGAATGGTGCCAGGTGGCCAGGGGGTGCAGGGCCCTCCAGTGGCAGGTGCTCTGCAAACACTGATAATGGGTGCTCTGCAAACGTTTGGTGAGTGGATTGACGGATGGGGACTGCTGCAGGAAAAGGGGCGTGAGGGAAGCTGAGGAGTCTGATTCAAACGTGATGCGAGGGGATCCCAGAGGGTTCCAAAGTCCAGCTTCAAGCCTGGACTAGCCTGCTGTCCTTTGGATTCACACACTTACGAGGACGAGGGCAGGAGTGTGACAGGTGGCAGCAGGGCAGTTTCCTGGGTGTGCAGACTGCATGGTCGCCCTGGGCCCATGATCTGGAGTGCCTCGTGCATGGTTCAGTGCTCTGCTGATGCCATGTTGAAATTCTTCATTTTTGAACAGGTGATCTTGAGTTTTTGCTTGTACTGGGTCCCACAAGTTCTCTGGCTGGTCATGCCCTGAAGACCAGCAGAAGCCAGTGAACGGATCAAGGGGGTAGACACACGGGAGACCAGTGTCTTCTGCTCGTGTGCGAACACGGACACAGGCGCGTCTACACTTACCCACAAAATGCCTCTACTCCCAGTCGACCCATTGGCCAGGCACTTGTGTGCATGAGCGGTGCTGGGAGGCTGGCTTGCCCCTTGCAGTGGCCTCCCTACAGCATCTCTGCTGTGCAGAAAGGAGGAGGTTCAGCGTGTGCAGGGCTGGGGTCCCAGCCTGCCCCCCCATGCCATGGAGCAAAGAGCTGAGGGTCTGCCTTGAAGTCCAAGGTCATTCCAGAGCAAACGGAATCTCAGAGGAGACAGTGACTGCGTGGAGTTCATTCCCTTCGGAGAATGTGTCATCCCCAAACTGTAACGGGTCAAAGAGCTTCAGGTCAGTCAGGGCCGGCACGCCTCTAAACGCCTCCCGCACGTGGCTTCCGGGAGCTTCCGTGTACTGCCCCGTAGAGTAACTCGCTTAATAATCAAAAAAATCTTGCAAGGTGGTAGGATTATCCACAGTTGATTGATGGGAGAACGGAGGATCGGAGATTTGTAACAGTCAGAGCTAGTGGCTGGACTGAGGCTGGGTCCAGGCTGGTCCGCGTCTCCTAGAAGTTGTGTCCTTACCCGAGTTCCCTTCCACCTCCTGGCGAGGGGGAGGGGCGGGGACCGGGACCCCGGGGAGTCCGTGCTGGCCTCTGATGATTTGAAGGCAGATGCCCAGGACTTGGTTCTGAGTAACAGCCCACATGAGACGCGGCTGTCTGCCAGCTCATGAGGACTGTCACCCGCCTGTGACTGAGCCAAGGCGTGCATCTGGGGGTGGGAGAGGGAAGCAAATCTGAGGCTGGGAGAGAGGGGCCATTCTGGTGCCGAGTCCCCCTCCCGCAAAACAAGCCAGCTCTTTGGCCGTGAAAGGGGGCCATGGAAGAGCAAAGTTCCTTTTGCAAAGTTCCTTTTGCAAATTTAATTTCTCCTTTTTAATTATGATTACGATTACGATTATGATTATTATTAAGTAGGCCCCACATAGAGCCCAACTTGAGGCTTGAACTTAGGACCCTGAGATCCAGACCTAAGCTGGGGTCAAGAGTCAGACGCTGTACTGTCTGAGCCGAGCAGCTGTCCTGTTTTCTACCTTTGACAAAACCCTTTTGCAAGCCGGTGTAGCCACCGTGAGAGGACAGAATGGGTGCCTTCCGGGCACCTGAGCACAGGTGGGGCAAAGGCACGGGCTTCTGAGAAATCCAGGACAGGGACCGGAAACTCCTTCTCTGGTCCGTGGTACCCACCTAAGAGGGGAGCTGGTAGCCTCATGCCCGCTACCACCCACCCGCGGCTGCTGGGGCCTGGTGGCTCTTGGGGACTGATGGGGACCTCAGAAATGGGAGGTCGTCTGAGCTGTTGCCCTAATTCCCTTGGACTTTGATGAGCTCAGGGCCCCAGGCAGGAGGTGGCCTAGTAGGCAGGTGTTACCCTAATTTGTGACTTTTTCAATGGAATAAACACAAAACAGAAGGGAAATAAACAGGAAAATTAGCAACATCGCATTCCTATTCATCCCTCCCAGAGTGGCCCCAAATTTGCTAACTGCTAACACTAAATGATACATTTGGGTAGAGGAGGACTTCTCTTTATAATGATAAGCTACACCTAACGAAATCGGCCATTTCCCCCATTTTTGAGTTCGGTGGCCTTAAGCACATCCACATCGTCGTGTATCTGTTTCCAGAGCTTTTCCATCTTCTCTGCCTGGAACGCTGCCCTGTGAAACACTGACTCTCTGCCCCTCCCTCTGGCAATCGCTGTTCTGCTTTCTGTTCCTGTGAATTTGACCACAGTAGGGACCTCCTACACGTGGAATCATATAGTATTTATCGGTTTGTGTCTGACTCAGTTTACCCAGCATGATGTCTTCCGGGTTTATCCATTCTGTAGTATACTGCAACATTTCCTTCCTTTTTAGGGCTGAGTAATATTCCACCGTGTGGATGGACCCCATTTTGTTTATCGATTCTCCTACCGAGGGACACGTGGGTTCCTTTCATCTTTTGGCCACAGGGAATGATACTGCTGTGAACGGGAGTGCATTTTGTCGAGTACCGTATCCTGGGGGGCGCTGCTGGCTTACCCCGTTGTGCAGAATTCTGGGGGTAGAGGGTCCTGAGCTTCGGTATTACGGGTGCTCAGGTGGAAACGGCACTGGATGAAGTCAGGCTGCCTGGGTCCCAGGCCCCACTGCCGGGGAAAAAGCCCCCTGGCCCTGGCTTCGCTGTCTTTATCTGTCTGGCGGGATGGACATGATTGTTGATGAGTGTCCAAGGTGGGGGCTCCCCGGGTGCCACTGTGCCCCCAGCCACACGGGAGACAGGCTGGTGTCCTCTTCTGTCCGAGGGGTATTACAGCAACAGTAGGATGACTGATTGGAGAGGATGCAGGAGAACAGGATTTGGCTTTGAAGCGGGCTGCGTCTGGGGGAGCCCAGATGTTGACGGTGGATGTCTGCGCATCGCCTGTCCCTGCGCCCCCACCCTGGGGGGCGGGGGGACGCAGCCTCATGCGTGGCTGATTGAGTGAACTGGCCTTCCTGTCCTCAGGTCCAGCTGGGAGCTCCCGGACCTCCAGGAGGGCAAGATCGAGGCCATCAGTGACTCAGATGGGGTGAACTACCCCTGGTACGGCAACACCACGGAGACGTGCACCATTGTGGGCCCCACCAAGAGAGACTCCAAGTTCATCATCAGCATGAACGACAACTTCTATCCCAGCGTCACGTGGGCTGTGCCTGTCAGCGAGAGCAACGTGGCCAAGCTGACCAACATCTACCGGGACCAGAGCTTCACCACGTGGCTGGTGGCCACCAACACCTCGACCAATGACATGATCATCTTACAGACGCTGCACTGGCGTATGCAGCTGAGCATCGAGGTGAACCCCAACCGGCCCCTGGGCCAGCGCGCCAGGCTGCGGGAGCCCATCGCCCAGGACCAGCCCAAAATCCTGAGCAAGAACGAGCCGATACCGCCCAGCGCCCTGGTCAAGCCCAATGCCAACGACGCTCAGGTCCTCATGTGGCGGCCCAAGTACGGGCAGCCGCTGGTGGTGATCCCGCCCAAGCACCGGTAACAGCCAGGGCGCCCCGCGAGGCTAGACGCAAATAATAACCCCGCTCCGAGCACACCCACGGACTCTGCAGTCGTTTGGCAAAATGCAACCACTCTACCTTCTGGAGCGGGCGGATCTCACTGTGCAAATGCCCCAGGATGGCTCCCCCAGCCCTCCTGGCACCTGCTTCCTTTCGGGGAGGGGAGGCCCGGCTGGGACACCCAACCCCACGCCCCCCCACCTTCGGTCTCCTTTCCTGGCGGTTTCCGTCATTCACTTGCGAGACTCCCGGAACAACTGCTTTTTCAGTTCTTCTTTTTTTCTTCTTCTTTTTCCTTAAACACCTCTTTTACGAGGTTCAGGGGCAGGAGGCGGCGGAGCTGGTCACGACCCTGACTGGGAGCTACCGCTGGCTTGTGAGTGGTAGCCCCTACGGCAGCTCCCCTCGTCGTCCTCCCTCACGCGGCCTTACGTAGACTCGCTTTGCCAAACTTTTGCCTTAAGCTGAATTTAAAGGAGAAAGCCCAAAACAGACAAAGAAAGCAGGATCTCTCTTCTGCTGACGGCTCATCTTCTGCTAGAGGTGAGGGAGGGGGCAGGGCAGGGAGGAGAGAGAGCCACCTGGGCCCTCGTCCGGGCGGTCTTGAGAGAGGGGCGGGGGACAGACTTAGACCTCAAACCAGCTGCCCATTCTTTCCTTTCAGCAGAAACGCAACCAGAAACCGGACCGACCACCTAAGGAGCCCCTTCTCTCAGGCTCGGGTGGCAAGCCCTTTCCCCATCCCTGGGAGAAGGTACCTGCGCGCTCCCACGGGGGTCTGCTGGGGCCGCTCCTCTCCTCTCTTCCGGCAGCCTTAACTTGCCTGGGGCGGATCTGGGAGGAGAGAGGGAGGGTTGAGCCCTGGGTTCTGCCATCTCAGCGCCCAGCCCCGATAGCTCCGCAGGCACGTCTAAGTGTTGTGCGGCTTTTCCTTTTCTGTCCCCGCTGGCCCCAGACGCCTGGAGGACCAGCCACCTTGAGCCAGATTTAGTTCGAAGATAAGAGAGGCATGCAGCTTCCCTCCTGGCTCCTTCTCAGGGGTGCCCCTCCCAGGCGCTTTGGGGGAAGCTGCAGGTGGGCTCTGGGTGCCAGTGTTGGGTTGGAGGTGGGGGGAAGCTGCCCAGGGGCGGCACCCAAGGATGGGTGGTCCTGGTTCTGGGGAGGCCGGGGAGGCCATCAGGTGGTTGCCCCCTGCTGCTTATCCTCAAGGAAGAAAACCAGGGCCTCAGGCTGGCGGGGGTGACATGGGGCCATGGTTGACAGGCATTCGGGCCGCTCTGGTCGGGACAGTGTGGCCAGTCTGGAGGGCCACCATCCCTCGGGCCCAGGGCCCTCCAGGGTCTGAGGATGGTCCTGAGCGACCCCAAGCTTTCTTGGTAATGTCTGCCTTGAAGGCTGCTTGTAGGAGCTGCGGGGCACACCCCATGGAAGCCCCCTTCAAGCTCGCCAATCCCCACAGCTACTGCACCCAGCTCTGCACTCAAACTAGTACGACCAAGCACAGAAAACCATCAGAAAAGAAAAATAATTCATTTCTGCTGCAGATGAGCCACTTGTTAGGAGTCCCGGGGACAGTGTGGGAGGCTGTGGGGCACCTTGCTCTTGTACTTACTCCGGGGGTGCTCAATGTCCCGTGTGTCTCCCACGTCCCGCTCCTGACAGCAGGCCCGCAGCTATCCTGGGACAACTGGGCCCGAAACATGCATGTGGCGCCAGCGTGCTGCTTGGGGAACCCCTTTGTCAGGCCCAGGACCTTGCCCCTGGAAACTGCCTGTTCCCCTTGGTGTGTACGGAGACCCTGTCACCCAGAGAGGCCACAGCCTCGAGTGGGGGGATGATGGGTCCCAGCTCTACCTCTGGGGAAGGGCCAGGAGGGGGGCAGGCTGACGGCGTCCTGCTGCCGTGGACAGGACCTGGCCTCCTAAGGGAGCGGCCCTTCCCTGCACTCAGGTCTTTCTTGCACTAAAAAAAGGAGGAAGGGCCCTGGGCGAGGGGTCAGGAGGCTGCGGTTTAGGTGCTGGGCTGGGTCGTCACTAAGGGATTCTCACTGTGCGAGGAGTGGGAGCAGGAGAGGACAGTAGGAATGGTCCTGAGCTATCGGGGGCAGAGTCCCCCTCACTCCCAGACCCACCTGCTGCGTGTGAGCAAGCTCTTCTGCCCGGGAACCAGGGCTGTGCCCACGCGGAGGGGGCAAAGCTGCTCTGGCTGCCTCCCTGGGCCTACCGCATGCCTGGGCCCCGGCTCGCCTTGCTCCTTGACTCACCCCACCCCTCCTGCACCCCTCTCTGTCCTTCCTGGCCTTTCTGAAGACAGGGCTGGAAAGACCCTGGAGAGGCCAAAGGTCCGGCCAAGGACCTTGGGTCTGGTCCCTGGGCCTCCTCCCTGTCAGGAGCACAGACCCCAGGCTTTTCCCCTGGGTCCCCAATCCCTCTGGTGTCCCCCTCCCCTGGCGTGGACACACTCCTCCAGCAATAAGGACCACCTGCGGTCGTGGAGAGTACTGTGAAAACAAACCAATGCACTTACCAGGAGGCATGAGACTCTTGAAGAACATGTAAAACCTTTTTAAAAAAGAAACAACAAATATTCACAAAGAGAAATAAAATGTAATTTTAAAGTAGGCCTGGCTAGGATCTGGATGTTTCTAAGGTGTTTCTGAAGTGGTGGCGCATGTATGGGTTGGTGGCCCTCTGTTCTGGCCAAGGGAGCGAGTGTACTTGGAGGGGGGTTGCTTTGTTCACGCATCCTCTGCCGTCCGCGGCCCTGAGACCTCAGGTCCCTGCCAAGAGTGCCCCTGGCTGGTGCCCCGGTCGGAGGAAGGACAGCGGACTTGAGGTGGAGGCTGGACTTAGGGGCAGCTTGGACTTTTGGCAAACAGGAGAAACCCATGTGACAAGGGGGAGTTAGCGTTCAGTTGGCCATGGGGCTGCAAACCTATCTTCACAGTGAGAAACGGCTGTAGGACGGTGTCAGTCTAGAACATTGCTCAGTGCCCTGCCCTCGGCCAGAGGCTGACGAAAGGGGGTGGCGTGGAATTAGCGCCCTCGTAGGAAACACTTTCTTCTAATGAGAACTTTCTTATGAAAGGACGGGAGGTGGGAGGTGGACCATGGAGTCAAGGCAACTTGCATGAGTCAGGTAAGACGCTGAGCCCCTCTGAGCCCCCTTTACCTTGTATGGAAAGTGGGGATTCTCCAAGTCACTGCCTCTTAGCTGACACGGTGAAAACACGCTGTTCTGCTTGGTTTCCAAGTGTTAACAATCCGCGTGTTCTTAGGGTCCCCATTTCACAGATGAGGAAACTGAGGGATAGCAGAAGTCAAGAAGCTGCTCAAGGCCATGCATCTGGGGAGAGGCAGAGTGGATCAGACTCTGTGATCAGTTTGAATCCTGGCCCTGGAGCCCAAACCCTTACCACTACATACCCTCCATCCTGGCCTGTTGCTACGGAGCATACGTTTGGCGCTCAATAATTATCAACGACTACTAAGAAGGCTGTGTGCCTTTGGCTCCGTCCATCCTGGGCTCCCAGGGCAGGAAATGCCTTTCTCCCCGCCTCTCCCCCCCCGCCCCTGGAAGGTTCTGTGCAGCAGTCAGTTCCCTGAGGCCCACAGTGAGTCCAGCTCATTCCCTTTGGGGAGGGGCTGCCCAGTAGGCTGCAGGCCATGGGCGCATCTTCCACGGTTGCCGGTGGCCTCCTGGCATCGCCACGGAAGACAAGGGGCCCCTGTTTGCAGTGGGCATTGGGGTTTGGTTTCGTCTCTGGGTTTTCCACATTGCAACAACCCAATGGCACTCTGCATCCTGTCTCCTGGGTCTGAGACACCAAAGCAGGAAATTGCATAACAGGCTCCGCTGGCCGCCCTCCGCCCAGATGGCTTATGGGTGGTACAGCTCACTGTCGTGGTTTCAGCTGCAGTGTCAGCTCCCGAGCTCTGCCTGTGAGAGCGCATGGGGTGTATGTGCGTGTGTGTCCACGTGCATGCGTAGACGACAGGGCTGTGGGCCTGGCCAGTGGCGGGAGAAAGTTGAGCTGGAGCACACCAGGCTAAAGCCAGAGTTGCTCAGGCACTGGAGCCTTTGGGCCGACATGCAGCTGAGGACGTGCAGCCGGCGGCACACGCTGGGAGCGGGCGGAATGTTCCGGAGGGGAAGGTGCCAGGAGGGTGGCCCTGAGTGAAGAGGATTCCAAGTGGCATTTAGTCACAGTGGAAGCCCTCCCGCTTCTCAAGCTGATAGCAGGTTAAATTTAGAAGTCCCAGACTGGGATGAGACACAGACACCAGACTCGAGCCAGCTGTCACAGGGTCCCCTGCCGGAGCAGGGCCTGGGAGAGCCGGCTGTCGGGGCTGGGCCAGGCCCGCCTGCCCCACAATGCTGGAGAGAAGCAGGTGCGCCATGACCCTGCACACAGCCTGCCTGTCACCTCTGGTCACTTCTGGGGAGAGTCCAGCCTCTGGACTTGGGCTCACTGTCGGTGAGGTCTTAAGGCCACAGAGGAAACCCCACCTGTTGGGAGATCGCTTGGTGGGAGCCACACAGAGGCCATGGCTGGAGGTGCTCGCAGGTCTGGGGACATTTCTATCGGCGCCCAGGTGCTTTTTCACCTCCTGCTTGATTTCTCTCTTGGTCATCATCTCTTCTGCCCGGCGGGGCCCAAAGACAGGGCTTCCCACCTGGCTGGGGTCCGGGCCTTGGATTGGGGCAAATACTGGAGGTAAGGACAGGTTATTGTGCACACACAGCATCCAAATGGACCCACCCCAAATCCTTACCCCATAACCAAGTCTGGCAAAGACACACATGCAGAGCGCGCGCTCCAGGGCTGGAGGGCCCTTCCTGCCACTGCTGAGTGCGTATGACGATAAAAGGGGAACTTTCATAGATGAGGAAACTGGCCCTTAGAAGGGGCCGCGGGACAGGCTAGAGGTCATTCAGCTGGAAGTTGCAGAACTGGGTGGGTTTCAAACAGCCATCCTTGACCTTGCTGGGTCACTGCTTTTTGGCTACACCAGCCACCCCCTCCAC